AAGTAGCAGACATTTTGAGCCACGCTCCCCGTGGAATAGCCATCTCTCTTCTACTTCATTCTCTTTCCCTCCATCTTTCTCTATGAGTGAACGTGGAGAAGGAAGAGACGGATAGATGGATGGATAGATAGATAGATAGAGAGAACGAGAGAGAGTGGGAGAGAGCGGTTATTGAATTACGAACTCTTAGCTTTCCAGTTCTTGCAGAGTGCGCGCCTTGAGGGACGCGAACACGCAAGTATGTTCTGGAAAAGCTCTTCTAGAGAGGAGGCAAAATAAAAGGAATCATCCTTTTACCGAATCTCTCTCTCTCTCTCTTCGAGCAACCTCTATTCTACCCGTCCGTAAATGCGTGTGTAGGATGTACATTGGCTGGTAAACGAAGCGCTGTCGAAAGTTTCGACTCAGTGACGATTTAACGAAGGTATCGAGAGATACGGAATATTCGACAAACCCAAAGATGTAATTTATCGTTAAAGTCAAATTTGTACGTTTTAAAGGAAATTTTATTTTAATCATTAAATACTAACTATGTGGTCGTTTTCTTTTGTCTCTCGCAAAAAGTGATATTTCCGGCGAAAAAATCATCTGTCTGCGTTTTGTTATTTTTGGTAACCAAAATCGACTGCGAATTTCAAACTAATCTACCTACAGTTTTTTGCCAATTCTCTGTAACCATATATATATATATATATATATATATATATATATATATATATATGCACATATAGATATGATCTATTCGCAACAGTATTCTCGATAGTGAAGATACGTCCCGTTTTAGATTTTAGGGAAACACGCGGTATCAAGTTAAACGAAGCGTCGACAATGTCATTTGCATATACACGACACATGGAAATACAAGCACGTATACGAAAAAAAAAAAAAAAAAAAAATACCAGGGGAGCGACAAATATGGGAATCGAGTTCTTATTGGAAATTTTTGGAAAACCGTCCTCGCGAAAATGTGAGATCCAAAAGATAATCAATCGAGCTCTGTTTGTATATCTGACGGATACAAATCCAACTTTGAAAATCTCGTTAAAATAGGTTTCGCATTAATTTCTATTCATGCCTCGGGTGATTTAACGAGCTTTTAAATTTGATTTACTTTCGAAATACGCGATTTAATTATGTAAAATGTACTGAATACATTTATTAGTTTTAAAAAAAAATATTTGCAATGTTATTCGATATTCTATATATATTTTTATATATTTATTTTATATATTTTTAAAACGTGCGCCCTTAAAATACCACCGCGTTTCGATTGATACCTGTATTTTATTTTATTTTTTTTTCCTACATATTTAATGTGCTATATTTTCTATGTATTTAGAATTAGCAGCTTCGACTGGTATACGCTCGTACATATATCTGCGGTAATGCCAGATTATTCGAAAGCTGAGTGTGTTTTATGCAATTGCAAATCGGCCCGCGGTGAGAATTCCAATGCGGATGAGATTGATTATGCGACTTGCCTCTCGCACGTTCCGCGATTTCCATACATGTGAGTTAGAGCGATGCATGCTCGCCATGAAAATGTTAATCAAGCCCTTTGTTAAGAGTCTTCAAATGTGGCTTTACCCCTTTGGAAGCGTGTATCGCGCGTTTCCGTCACCGCGATGCTTCTTTCACTTATTTGCAAATTTATGTAATACCATTAAAAAAGAAGTATCAAACTCGTGGTGGTAACTTGTATAATTTTCGCTGTAATCTAACGATTGCACGAATTTCCTCGACGATCCTTTTCGACGTAGATTTAGATTCATTCATTTCAGAATTAATATTCCCGATTATTATTGTTCCGATAATCGCACCGATTCTCTATAATATTTCATATCCGAATCGGGTACTCTCTGTCTTTCTCAACTAAGTAATCCCGGATTCTAGCCAATTTCGCGGCAAGAACTTAATCTAAATAAGATTCCATTACTCCGCTCGGCGTGTCTAGATGTTTCTACTGCAGAAACTTCATTTGTCGTAATTTCCTATGCAAGATCGTTTATGATTAAAATATATATATGAATTTGTTAATATTTACATTCTTTAACCATTTTTCCGCAATAATTCTGGCTGGATACATCTACTTGTCGACTACTAATGGTCTCACTTTGGGGAGTTTTAATTTCATAAAGTGCACCTGTAAATGTGTATAATTATTAAATAATTGAATTACAAATTATTTCTCTAAACAATTTCCCGACATTTAATATAAATCGAAATTGATTCGCTGAACTCGTGACCTTTGATTCCAATTAATTCGGCAATCTAAGTAAAATCTAAGGTAATCTAAAATCCAATTGTAACTGTAAAATTACTTGTCTAAACTTGTTTGCCACTCAATACCATCGAATCCTGTTATATTTATTTATAGTTTAATTAACAATCAAACAAATTTAATAAAATATAAATTGGTTTTTCTATCGACATACTTTTTTCAAGTATTTTGTGTGGGGGTGTATAAAAAATTTTTTTTTTACATTCTCTTTAACATATGTCAAAATTTGCAAGTTAATATTTGTACGAAAACTCAGCGTACTGTCCAGAGACATGATGATGTATTATAAGAGAAAGATCATTACGGAAATAACCCCACTGCTGATGAACTATTAATTTCTTGCGTAGGTGTTGATCTCTTCAGCGTGGATTAACGCGAGATAGATCTTGACGTAGGTGACGACCTTTATCGCGCCAGGCTGCTTGATGCTATGTTACTAGGTTAATTAATAAATTAGCATCAGAATTACTTTTTAATTAACTGAGAGAGATGATTAATTAAAATAGTTATAAAATTCTTTCTTGTATTTCAAGCTAAAATAAACTTTTTATTGATTCGTATAAAACGTTTAGAAAAAATGTTTGAATTAATTAAGTAAACCCATTTCTGATTTTTAATATTTTCAGAAATAAAAATAATTATAAATAATATATTTTTCAAAGTTTCTTATTTCTAATTTTTTTTCTCTTTTCATTATTTAATTTGTGTACGTCGATAACTGCAATATTCGTTATACATTTTTTTCATTGTGAATTAAATAATAAATCGATTTAATTAAATTACACATATACGAAAATCAAGGTATACTCAAAAGACAATTATAATTATAAAATATTAATGAATAAAATTAACGATGCATATTTTAAACAAGTTAGATTTAATTTATAAATAGTTTATATATGTCTGTATGCACGTTTGTGTGTGTGTGTAAATTTCTTTTTTAAGAAATTTATAGTATGTCAGCCAAGTAGTAAAATAATCGAGAATAAAGTTACAATAAATTGAGCAAAGATGAGACTATTCGGCTCTAAAAAATTAACGGCAAAAATAAAAAATCTAAAAATTCATCTTTATTTTCTAAGAACACGTAGTGATTTTTTCCTCCACGTACAAGGGAAACTCGGGTTGATACAAGAACATTGCTGCGGATATTTTACAAGACACTCTTCGGAAACGCCATGCTTCCACACAAAGAGTGATAGAGCTGGGAAGTGAGAAAGGCAGAAGGATGCAGAGAGTACGCGAGAATAACAGAGAAAGAGGGAGAGAGAGAGAGAGAGAGGGAAGGAGAAAGAGAGAGAAACGGAGAGGGTGAGAGTTTGAGAGAGAACAGACCCGGTTCGAGCCACCCCGGTTCATGTCACCCACTTCTGCGGCGATGAGAGAGGGTGCACAGTAGAAATGTCGATAAAACGTGTTGGCCAATGAGCGAGCCTGGTGTGACGTCACCGCCGCGGCGGCGGCCAATCGGGTGGCGCCGGTGACGTCACCGGTAAGGGTGGAAACAACCCCGACCCGGGACGAGAAGCCGCAGGCTTTTCTCTTTCTGGCGGGGGCCGTTGAAAAGAGGGGTCGGTTGGTTGGGCGGCAGGGTAGGGGCGCGAGGGTGGAGATTGTTGGGAGTTACGGGGGTGGACGCGGATGAGGTACCGAGAGAGAAAGAGGGAGAGGGTAGTGGGCCGGGGTGCGGAAACGTGCGCCAGTGGATGCCGGGGTGAGTCGCCGGTGGCGGCTCAGGCAAGCCCCAATATGGGTTTACTAATCCCGCGAAACAATGGAAATTGCTCGATGCAAAATGGCGATAGGTAAACCACCCTGGGTTGCCGGGGATAAACTTAGGATCGGTTCCTAGAGGTAAGAGGGAAAAAAAGCCTGCTTTTTGGCCCAGGAGATCCATGACATTTTTTCATCGCGAGACTATTGTTAACTCACTTGTGCTTAAGTTCATCCTTAAGCACTCCTTAAGCTTTGCTTGTATATTACTTTTTTCACTTTTTCATTGCCATTTTATTACAAATATATTGTAAATAAGTATTCAATATTTCTCGAAGCATATGATTCGTTTTATATAAACTTGTGTATATAATAGTGTAGATTATATATTTATATTTGCGCGAGATTTAAAATGTTAAAGGATTCAAATATTAAATGAGCTTGCGGATTTTAATGTTTGAATCCTTTAATGTTTTAAATCTCGCGAAAATGTATAAAACTAATATTTTTAGAAAGAAAGAGAAGTTAGAGTGAAATGAGTTCATAATTTGTAAAGCATGAAATCGAATCTTTATATGCTTCTGCTTTGATTCTAGATGGATACATATTGAAGCGCTCCCAGAACAATTCATGTATAGGTCGCTTCGGAGCGATTTCAAACGAATAAATAATATTTCGCAAAACTATATATTGAAAAAAAAAAAATAAATAAATAAAACCGTAATTTCAATGTATATATTCCATTAATTGTTTGTGTAATATAAAATTATTTGTAATGCAAAACTCTTTTATCTCAAACTCTCTTTATCTGCCTCATAAAAGCTATTAATTAAATTTAGATCAATTAAAATAATTATTATAGTAATATACAGCTCGAATCTAATAGTCGGAACAATAATAATACACGTACAAAGGAATTAAGATAGTTAATTGCACTAATCATTGAAATATTGTTAATGCATATACGGTTGCACCTGTTCGCTCATGCAATTTTGTTTCTGCCTAGGTTTGGTTCCAGAACAGAAGAGCGAAATACCGGAAGCAGGAGAAGCAACTGCAGAAGGCTTTGACACCAATTCCCGCCTGCCAAGGTGCCATGATGAGGAATATCTATCCTGGTGCTAGCAGAGGTTATCAACCCTACCCCCATCCTCACAACAGCATAAATGGCATAAATCGTTATCCCCAGGTGAGGCTCCCTTACGACGCGCAGGACGCTTCCGAAATTTCATTATTATCGATACCCGCCGCTTTGCACGCTCACCAATACACTCAACGCGAAGATACACCCTCGATAATGGCAAGTAAATAATATAAACAAATTACTAGTAAACGAAATGATACAAAAAAAAGAGAGTTACAAAAGATGTGTTCCCCTAAGATACATCTTACTCTTATCTCGCGCAGTTACTTCGAACTTTATTAATTTAGTGCAAACCAAACTAAAGAGATTAAAATCTTTGGAAATTAATAGTTGTGCTCGAATTGGGACAAATTATTATGAGCATTTTTCACCGAGATATATATTCGCTGTTCAACGTGCGATTGGTCATGTTAGAGAAGCAGATGAAAATATTGTGATAAATGGATAGATCGCGATCTCCCGAGGGATTATTTGAAAAAAAATGTATACATCAATTTTACCTAAGAATTTCGATACAACGGTGGATTTTGGCCGCTTTTGAAGGTTCACATATTGCGAATGAATTCGATGCGTTTCTCGTAATGATTTTAACCGAGGTATTAAATTGGAGTGCACCTGAGCGTGTATGTCCGGCGCATCGCTATCGGTCGATATAGCTAAATTGCATTTCGGCTGATTAGTTGGGTCGGCCGAATTACCGAATGCCTACCGTTTTAATTGAGCCGATAATTCGCGAGCGTGTCTATCGGTTTCTTTTTTTAAAAAAAAAGACATATTATTTATGAATCTTTAACACCGATTTGTCTTTTTCTTTCTCTCGAAATTTTCAAGAAAATAACGTACAAAGTTTTCTGCCGCAGTTAATATTTTCATTTTAGGATTTTGGAAACATTTAATAATAATAATATACCAGTCACACGCATAACACATACACAATATTTAAGTATAATGGTAAAGGAATATATGTACATAAAAAATAAATGATAATTCCTTTATAATTAATAATTTTATAATTAATAGTTGCTTTTTATAATAAAATTAATAAAAGCGTCGATGAAAAATTTCTTTATTCAGTTCAGAGAAACTCTAATTTTTCTCTTTCTATCTTCATCAGATTGTACTTAATAATTGTGATATTACGTAGGATCACGTAACACGTTGTAAAATTGATTACGGTCAGGAAATAGACACCGCGCCGCATTATTAATTTCCATCGAGTTCCGAACGTATATTATGCGTTTAATTTTTATAATGAAACCATATATCCCCTCATCACATTCGATTCCGCGTTTGCCCTCTTCCCAGCGAGTGGAGATGTAAGAGCGACTTATAGTCGATAATTATGTTTCATACACGTTAATTACCGCATTACTTTCTTCCCGTTGTTTCAGAACAGTCTCTCAAACCGCGCACGTGTAACTTCATAATTTCATTGATATCGCAGAATTCATTTTTGCTCATTTGTACGCCCGCGAAAATTAATTATACGCAACATTAAAATCGCGCGTCTATTCTTCGCGGAACAAATACAAATAAATTTTTAACAGGGTGTTGGTATAATCTGATTAGAAAAAATTGCGTGTTTCAAGGAACGCGATCGAAATTCGCGACTAAATCCGAACGTCTGATCATTTCCAAAATCATGGATGAAATGATCAACGTCATTGATCGCTACGTATCGTGTTTCAGATGGGCACGACGTCTTATCCGAGCATGACCCAGCCGTTCTCCATGTCGCATTCAGCGTCGAATATGTCGGCCGTCACCGGAATGCGACAAGATGCAATGGGTGAGTCATAAATAATGCAACGCCAGTGCTTTTAGATATGCGAGCATGTGCGTAAAGTGAGCGACATGAATGGTTCGCGTGTTGCGCTCTCATTTAGGTCAAGGATCATGCAAATGTCTTTAATTCCAGAATTTGAGGGTAACCGGCTCAACTTTTTCGCCGGAAATCGAGCGTCATTGTTGCAGAAATCGTTCTCGATAGCCAATATTTGCAGTGCTCTAAGTAAAATAAAATATCCAATTTAAAACGAAATTGCATTTACAAATAATTTTGCGCTTTAAGTATAATATAGCTAATTTTGTGGAAAGAGCGCAAGGAACTTCTGACGTTAGAAACGTCAGATATGTGAAAAGAAATTATAACATTTTGCAAAGCCAATATATTATAAATTGACAATTGTCATCTGTAACGATTTTATAATGATTATTAAAATTTTCATTGAACGCGCTATTTAACGATGCTACATTTTGCATGAACTTCACAAAATTTGTGCATAAGAGAATTTTCTCTTAGAATTTATCCTGAAATTCACGATGGTAGGACAATATGGTATTGAAAGAATTTTATGAGTTTTCTCTGATTAAAATATTTACCACAATAAAAAATAATATCTATCACAATAAGATATAAAATATGTTTGTTTAATTTGACTAAAATATATAGTAAAATTTCAATAATTTTAAAATATATTAAAAATTATATTTTTAATCCAGCTTAATCGTTTATGATAATTTTCACATGCGGCATAGCAATTTTCGGCTTATTATCAAGCATGATAAAATTTGTAGTGAATTTTGCGGTAAAATATAACGAAAAATTCTCTCCGTGTACACGATTTATTATCCTTCTACTGTACACATATGAATTCTTCCTCTGCAAGATTTCGCGAACGGATCTAAACCGATTTTTCCGATGCCTCGCTCGGGCTTCGTTCTCTCGTCCAGTATCTTGGCGACTTTCAGCACGATTTTCGCGGATGCTGACCCGACGTTATCGAATGATTCCGCAAAAATCCGGAGCGGAAATGGCGCGAATCCGACGCCCGGGCACGGGAGAACTCTCTGCCCGCCAGCTTCCAAGACGCTCTCTTCTCCATTTCCGTCCCCCAGCGCCGTCTTACACCATTTCCGGCGCGAGATGGAATATCGCTTTTAAATCGAATCAAGACTATTCGCGAATTGCCTGCCTCTCGAGGCTGCTCGGCGCGAGCGAGCGAGCGATTGCTCTACGCTCCGCTCCGCTTGCAATCTCGCCGCCTCTCCTTAACGATTTAACGCCTCTCTCCTTGACGTCTTAATGCGATAGCAAATTGACCGATTAGTAGACTCGATAAAGCTCCTTGGAAAGTCGTTAAATCGAATCACTCTTAGAAAATTCTTTCGGGAGACAAAAAAATCCGCTATTCTCCGCGCTGAGGGAAATTCAACGGCGATTTATTCAAAGAATATAGTCTCGCGAGTTTTATTTATTAAAAATATTGCTACTGTTTGCGTTTAATTGGATGCAACTATTTTTACAATCAAATAAAACAATTAATATAACGAAAATTAATTTTCGTTGCAAATAAATCATTATTTTAATTTGTTTTCCAAAAGTCTTGGCAAAGTACCAAGCAAATTAAAATCATTATTTATTTACAACGAAAATTAATTTTTATGTAATTTGAAAACGACGCACCGATACCCGCGTTTGGATCCGAAACCTTTATACAATTCTGAGTTTTATTTATATATACAAACCTTTAAATTCTTATAAAAAAATTCATAGTGTGTGCTTTTTCCTTTTCGATATAACATACAATAGATTTCACATATAATAGATATTTTGTCAATTTTGTGCTAATCTGATATAGAATAAAAAGACAGAATTAAAGGTATAATCTATATAGATTCATCTATAAAATTATAATCCTCTAAAAATATATAATAAATAAAATTTTAATATTTATTATGATTACTATATGAAAGAAGAAAAAATAAATAGTAGGATCTATATTTTTGTAATATAACTTTGATGTACCTGAAATTTCGTATCATTACGGTATTAATCAGAGTAGAAATATAATGAAAAAATGAAGAACAAATACACATCGAAAGATTGCTAAGCCAGGTCTATCCAACATAGGTTCTTGGCGATCAATCCTTAAAAATCATGCGTGGTTTGCCTAAGAACGTGTTTTTCGTTTCAGGGATGTCAGCGGAGGACGAATGGTACAACAAGAGCATCTCGGCTCTGAGAATGAATACAGCTCATCACCCGAACCTGGCCGCACCCATGTTACAATATCAAACATAATTGTAAACGGAGGCGGAAGGGCGATTCAAGGATCTCGTCAAAAATCCGGTGTTACACTTATAATCGAACAACGGGGGAAGAAAAAACAAGAGTGAAAGAACGACGAGATCGACAAAGCCCGATCGACGTTTCGCCGTTTCGCAAATGAAAAAGGCAAGAGATAAAAGCAGAAACACGGATGATGATCTATTTGCGTTATCGCTAATCGGCCGCATCGACATCCTGATTTCGCGACACATCCTCGCATTTCGCTTTGTAGCAAATGGGCTCGGTTCGCATATATTGCGAATACACGCGCGTGAAAGCTATCATCGATTACGTTTCGGATTTCGTCACACACATACACACACACACACACACACACATATATATTTATATATATTGTTTTGGGCGAGCTAAATATTATTATTAAGCGCGGCGTTAAATTCGATTAAGCGCTATGATGAAATAGCGGCATTTATTTCCAGCATCCGGAATGTGAGCTGCGAAAGAAATATTTGTTGCAGAATTTCAATTGGCATCTACTTATTTAAATTCTCGTCTATGACTGCTCGTGTGATTACCGCGACATAGAATGTATTACGATCGACGTACAGATTATTTCTAATATCGCGTATTTTTTTTGAATCTCTTGCAAATTTCTGGTAGATCTTTTCTCGTATAAATCTTGAATTAAAATTCTTTTAAATTCTTATAAAGTTAATTTTAGGAGCAACTCTGCACATAAAAAAATGTTTTATTTGTCATATTTTATATATATTTTTTTAATATATTAATTTTAATTAAATAAAATTATAGTGAAACTTAATTCGAGAAATTTATTGTTTTAGGTTTGAGAATTGTTGACGTTACAATATTTAAAGAAAAAATTTGATCGCAAATGACTCGAAATGTTCGTATTATAAGCAAAGTACTTTATTATTTATTAATTTGTTTGATTCTCTGCTACCAACTCTGAAAACTGAAAGTTCAGCCAGAGAATTTGTTATACCTATATTTCTCGCAGCGCGGAAAAATTGTATATATCTTTTTCTATACGAAAAGAGAAAGATCAGTCTTTTCTTACTTATTCAAGAGAAAATACGCGATGTCTGAGACTCATCCATACTTTGGATACGCGGATAGCGATAGTTCTGCGATTGGCGTGTACAAAAAAATTGAACCGTTTGTCGCTGAAGATCTGTATATTTTTTACGTGTAGCGGATGTCTATTTTCTAATTATTTTCGTTAAAGACAAACGTGTCGCGAGACACGCGCAAATGCACATTTAAACACACTTGCACGCGACAATTCGTTAATCTCTTAACAACGATACGTGCCACGCTTTCGTTAATCGACGGAAAAACGAGAGGAAGGGGTTGAACAAAGGACGGGACTGTAAATAAGGGCGAAGATATAGATACATAGAGAGCGTGTAATCGGCAGATACTCTAGCATATGCGATTTTTCAATGTCCTTTTAAAAGTGTAAGCATACCCTTAGTGAATGATATTAGGCATTGATTTGTGTGCTTATGTTGACCACGATTTTGGATAACATGGGGCGGAAGAGACCAGAGCGCGGTTGGACGGCGGTATCTGACAGTGCTTTTGCGTTTGACATTTGAGAGGCGCCAGGGAGTTTTCCCATCGCGAGAATCGTATTACCGAATCTCACTCCTTCGTATAGATTAGACGTCGTTGCACACAAATCGACACAAGGACGTGTCTCACCACCCTTCCAAAAGTGACACAAAACGATGTGATTTTGCGTTTTGCATTAATAAGTATAAAAAAAAAAAAACATATGAAACGTAAAACACTAACTGTAAGTGTATAATATTCGATCTAGAAAATATCGTAAGTGTGAGATAAAGACAAAAGTTATAAGTGAAAGTGACATAAGAATAACTGACAATGTTATTGAATTGCTCATATTTTTAAATTCGTGTCATTAAAACGGGGATGTGATATATATATCAGCGTATCGCGAGCAATGGGGTAGGTTTAGCATGAATTTACGATATTGTTTGACGGAACTTTATGCTGGACGATTTGTTCGTCAAGACTACTATTGTTATTGTACGGTACGCTTATATATATTTATGTAAATTTGTGTGCAACAGCCTTTAAACTTATTTTACACTGAGAAAGTATCCGGTGCCAGATTCGTCAGAAACGAAACGAATCGCAATGACAAGTTTAGGAATTATTATTTAGATTTTTAGATGAAAAAAAACGAACCCTTCTCTGCTCATCATATAGCATCGAGATTGATCTTTTAAACCCGAATGAATAAAGTATTAAAATTGAATTACATTGTAAAGTTCACTGATTGATACCAAAATCAGTGTATATAGGCATTTGACAAACGTACAGATCATAAAGTCACTGATTATCTGCTAGCCGAACAGAGTTGACATGCAAAAGATGGGGTTGCACCTTATCTTACTCACACATCCAAGATTAAATATGTAATTAATTATTGCTAACGGATCATACTGTGTAACAATGTTGTGCTCGTAATATTCAATACGATATTGCATCGACAAGCGAATAATATCAGGCAAATATTGCCTGATGTCGCGAGATAATTCACAGCCGTTGAGATGATTAACGAGAATTGCGACATTATTATCACAAACAACGTAGCAGATCATGTATGAAAATTGGATCGTCAATGAGACGGTTGTCGAACGAGCATTATTATTCACTCTGTTGCCGCAAGTCGGTTAATTATTACGATCGTTCGTCGTCCGGATGCTTTCCCGCGTAAAAGCAGAATCGCAGCTTTCGTCGTTTTAACCGTTTATATTTCCGACTCATCAACAATATTTTTATTTAATTATATATATTCAATATAAACGTCTATGTATAAAGATTATACGCGTTTTATGAAATTAAAAAAAAAAAACTAAAAAATATAAATATTTTATATTTAATTGTTTAGTTATTATTTCATTCAATTTCGTGAAATATGCTCAATTTTACGAGATACTAATAAGCACTTTTACGTGTGAAAAAATTTCATAAAATAATACATTTATTTATTTGTTTGAATTTATCGCAAACATTCGTGCGAAACTTTCTGTGCAAAAGTTTTTATGCAAAAGAAAGCGAAATACAAACGATTAACACGCGATTCGCGTTCGACTTCTCCCTGGCGCCTTTCAGTAATATTCGGAATCTGTCCAGTCAACAATCGTCTATATTGGTGTCATTTTTCGATAACTGTTTAATCAATATATTGACTCGAAGATGAAGCTGCAGACGACTGCGCATTGTTTTCGTGTAGTTTCGCTGCGACCTTATTATTATCGTTCGCGGCATTCCACGAGAAATGTTCCTAAAAAATTTGTAACATATCTTACACGTACTTAACACTGATACATGCCTGAACACATATACACACACACGTGTACACATATAAAGGTGAATACAAAGATATATGGCACGCGTGGGCACGTATAGGCTCGTGCATCCAAAATCACACATGAAATCACATTGTGTTGAGAGGACAAGTTAAAAATTAAGTGGAAATGCATACCGGACGAGCGTAACATAGTTTTAAGCAAGGGTCACGTATTGTACGTATGTGTTGTACATAGCCTAAATAAAAATTACATTTAAAAATATTCCTTTTTCCTTCATCTTTAGAATTCTCTAGAGAATACAGGGTGTATACTTAAATCTTAGAATTCAAATTCCTTGAAAATTCCAGGTTTTCCAGATTTTTCCAGAGAGTATACACCCTGGAATACCAAAGATAAATTAAATTCTTTGAGAACATAAAAAGTGCGCTTCTATCATTTCAAAAAAATATGAGAAAACAAGATAAATGATTGATAAAATATACTTCATTGCAGAAAAAGTAAGGGATATAGACCTTAAATGAGGAAAATCTAAAGGAAAGTAACTTAAAAAAACAAAGTTTAAAATAGAGACTAACAGACATTAGACACATATTGAATCTAAAAATTAATTATTTTTGGCATATGAATTGTTCATTGACATATAATCTCAGTAATATATAATTTGTTTTATTAAATAAAATTAATGTACAATGTCTGTTTTTTCCGAGCACTTGCTCTTGTTGACGGCATAGCCATGTGTAAATAATTTACATGAATATTACAGAAGTACGTATATCGATCAATTTGATATTTTATTTTGGCAAATTTTTTTTTATTTTAAGAGACCAATTCTCGTTTAGTAAAGTTAGCGAGATGTTTCTTAAAATAAATATATTACCTTTTCATTTTTCTTTCAAGGCACACTGTACAAATGTTAGACGCGCAATAAACGTCATCAATGAAAATGTATTTGTCTGATTTCAAACCAATCACACTGGACGAAATCTTTATTCATCTCAAAGATGAACGCATGACGTTACCGTCGAAAGTATTTTCTTTCACGTACTCAAGTAAAACTTACATTATTTCTGTTTTCCAACTACTTAAGCTTTTCTTTATTAATGCCCAATCCTCTAATATGTCTGCATCGTTCAGCATGTAAACGATGTAAGGACCTGCAACAGAAACAGCTCGTCTTCTCTCCGAATGGTTTCTGCGTCTTCTGCCAGTCGTATTAAGCCATAAGTCCGCATGTATGTCCACATTGTTTCTATCTTCCTCTAGACGGCGAATCTTTTCTTGAAGATCATTATGAATATAATCCCAAATCAAACCTTTTTCACTTTCAAAATTTTGCAAAGCAGCCTGTTCCTCTGCTAAGAATTTATTCTGAATGTTTTGCAATCTGTACTGTTTTAATATTCCAGCTACTTCTGTTTTTGTTTTCATATTTTCCTTTAGTCGCTCTAGTGGTATTAGATATTCCTCAGATTTTCCGACACGAACTTCCCCAAGTTTTGTATCTACCTGTGTAATTCTTTCTCGATACAATCTGAAATAGATAACAGTAAAATAATTGTTTGTTGTACTTTTTAGAACTTTAATATATTGCTATATATATATATATATATATATATATATATATATCATCAACAATTAATAATTATAATTTCATAATTAAAAACTATATTATATTAATTTTTTCTGTATTCTTAATAAAATCTTCATGTATTTATAATATTTATATTACTAGAATAACAAAATTTTTCCTGTTCCACCAAGAATATTCATGAATATATTCTATATTTTAAATAAAAAATGTATCAATTATACAATGATAAAAATAATATGCTAAATATATGGAATACACTTACTGTTCCTTGAGAAGAGTAAACTGTCTCTCCAAATCTAATAGGTTATCCATGCATTCATTGCGTCTCCTTTCACATTCATCTTCATCCATTTCCGAAGAATCATCACTGTCGGTGTGTTCTGCACTACTGTCACATGATGCAGAACTCTGGTTACTATCATTACTATCATGAGACATCTCCTCCCCTTCTGCCTCTGATTCATCCTTAACACTTGGCATTTATACCGTATACTGTAAAAAAATGTATATATATGTAGCGTGTTTGTTTTATACATTAAAGTAAAAATAAATATTTAGACAAACTTTAGAAACGTATTTGAATTAAGTACATGGTATATCTATCTTATATTATACGATTACACACTTATTAAATTTTAAAATAAAAAAGTATCTACATAGTTTGTATAACTTTATAATATAATCTATGTATAAAATTGCTCATAACCTCAATAATGTAATTAAAAATATTTATATACTTATACTCATACTTACATATATATATATATATGATTTTAAAAATTTCGTTGAACAGTTCTTAAAATATTCGTTTATTCAGCGAACGTTAAACAGCTAGATTTGTTTATATAAAGACAGAGAGAAGCCTCCTGAGAAGGAGAGGGCGTCAATGTTTTTTTTTTCTTATCAAGCCGTACATTAGCGACCTCTCAGTTTTACGTCATCTGGAACTACATAGCCACTTATCGCTGTCATGATAAAACAGCTGATTGGTTCGAGTCCGTGCTATATTCTCAATTAAAATACAAATAAATGACGTTTGTAATAAAACAATTCTTGTAAAATGAAATAATTAATTACAAAATTAATTGAATATAAAAAAATTAAAGGAAAAAAGCTGAATTTATTAATTTTTTTTTATGAATGTAGCATGGAACAGAACCAAACTGCGTATTTACCTATCGGATGTGACTAAATAGTTCCATGTCTTTAGCTAGAGATGTATAGATGGCGCTTTGTACGCTTCTTCTCTTTTTTTACCTCCTCCATCCACCATATATAAGTGTCGGAAAACGCGGGAACGCGTGCAACTTCTCCCTCCATAATTTACGTTAATTTATTCTTTAATTAGTGATACTGAAAGTGGGTTTGATGTGCCATACACAGAGGTAAGCTTTCTTTATCATATTATTACGTTGATTCTGTAAAAACTGGGACTTGAAGGGTACAATTTTATTGATTTTGGAAAATGTGTCCTTTATTTTTCACGGTATATAGCAGCGCAACCTCTTTCACCTAAAAATTCTTCACATTAAAAATAATTGTTAAACATAACATATATGACATAATTTATATCATTATTAAAATCATATTAAAGTTATCAGAAAAATAAGGAAAATTGATAGTGAATAAAACAATTCTTCTCAAATAAAAAATTAATTTTGTACATAAAAATTAAAGGAAAAAAAGCTGAATCTTTAATTTATTTTCTTTTTTTTGTGAATGTCATTATCAAACTTGCATTAAAGTTATTAGAAAAATAAAGAAAATGAGGAGTGAATAAAACAATCCTTGTCAAATAAAATAATTAATTTTGTATATAAAAAATTAAAGGAATAAAGAAGCTGAATCTTTAATTAATTAATTTTGTGTGTGCAATGTCATTATTAAATTCACATTAAAGTTATTAGAAAAATTAAGAAAATGGGGAGTGAATAAAACAAAACAAATAAATTTCAAATAAAATAATTAATTTTGTATATAAAAAATTAAAAAAAGCTGAACCTTTTTTTTGTGAATGTAGCATGGAACAAAACCAAATACCTACTGCGTATTTATCTAGCGGATATGGCTAAATAGTTCCACGTCTACATCTAGAGACATAGTTAGCGCTGCGTACGCATTTCTCCTCTTTATTTCCCTCCAATCCGCCATATACAAAATTGTCGCAAAACGCGGGACCGTGTGTGATTGCTCTCTCGGTAATTTACGTTAATTTATTCTTTAATTAGGATACTGAAAGTGGGTTTGATGTGCCATACACAGAGGTAAGCTTTCTTTATCATATTATTACGTTGATTCTGTAAAAACTGGGACTTTAAGGGTACAATTTTATTGATTTTGGAAAATGTCCTTTATTTTTCACGGTATATAGCAGCGCAACCTCTTTCACCTAAAAATTCTTCACATTAAAAATAATTGTTAAACATAACATATGACATAATTTATATCATTATTAAAATCATATTAAAGTTATCAGAAAAATAAGGAAAATTGATAGTGAATAAAACAATTCTTCTCAAATAAAAAATTAATTTTGTATATAAAAATTGAAGAAAAAAGCTGAATCTTTAATGTATTTTCTTTTTTTTTGTGAATGTCATTATCAAACTTGCATTAGTTATTAGAAAAATAAAGAAAATGAGGAGTAAAAATAAAACAATCCTTGTCAAATAAAATAATTAATTTTGTATATAAAAAATTAAAGGAATATAGAAGTTGAATCTTTAATTAATTAATTTTGTGTGTGCAATGTCATTATTAAATTCACATTAAAGTTATTAGAAAAATTAAGAAAATGGGGAGTGAATAAAACAAAACAAATAAATTTCAAATAAAATAATTAATTTTGTATATAAAAAATTAAAAAAAGCTGAATCTTTTTTTTGTGAATGTAGCATGGAACAAAACCAAATACCTACTGCGTATTTATCTAGCGGATGTGGCTAAATAGTTCCACGTCTACATCTAGAGACATAGTTAGCGCTGCGTACGCATTCCTCCTCTTTATCTCCCTCCAATCCGCCATATACAAAATTGTCGCAAAACGCGGGATCGTGTGTGATTTCTCTCTCCGTAATTTACGTTAATTTATTCTTTAATTAGTGATACTGAAAGTGGGTTTGATGTGCCATACACAGAGGTAAGCTTTCTTTATCATATTATTACGTTGATTCTGTAAAAACTGGGACTTGAAGGGTACAATTTTATTGATTTTGGAAAATGTGTCCTTTATTTTTCACGGTATATAGCAGCGCAACCTCTTTCACCTAAAAATTTTTCACATTAAAAATAATTGTTAAACATAACATATGACATAATTTATATCATTATTAAAATCATATTAAAGTTATCAGAAAAATAAGGAAAATTGATAGTGAATAAAACAATTCTTCTCAAATAAAAAATTAATTTTGTATATAAAAATTGAAGAAAAAAAGCTGAATCTTTAATTTATTCTTTTTTTTTGTGAATGTCATTATCAAACTTGCATTAAAGTTATTAGAAAAATAAAGAAAATGAGGAGTGAAAATAAAACAATCCTTGTCAAATAAAATAATTAATTTTGTATATAAAAAATTAAAGGAATATAGAAGTTGAATCTTTAATTAATTAATTTTGTGTGTGCAATGTCATTATTAAATTCACATTAAAGTTATTAGAAAAATTAAGAAAATGGGGAATGAATAAAACAAAACAAATAAATTTCAAATAAAATAATTAATTTTGTATATAAAAAATTAAAAAAAGCTGAATCTTTTTTTGTGAATGTAGCATGGAACAAAACCAAATACCTACTGCGTATTTATCTAGCGCATGTGGCTAAATAGTTCCACGTCTACATCTAGAGACATAGTTAGCGCTGCGTACGCATTCCTCCTCTTTATCTCCCTCCAATCCGCCATATACAAAATTGTCGCAAAACGCGGGACCGTGTGATTTCTCTCTCGGTAATTTACGTTAATGTATTCTTTAATTAGGGATACTGAAAGTGAGTTTGATGTGCCATACACAGAGGTAAGCTTTCTTTATCATATTATTTTGTTGATTCTATAAAAATTGGGACTTGAGGGATAAAATTTTATTAATTTTAGAAAAGTATATGTGACCTTAATTTTCCAACGGTATAGCAGCCGCAACCTTTCACCTGAAAATCTTTCACAATAAAAATAATTGTTAAACATAACATATATATGACATAAATTATTATCATTATCAAAATTACATTAAAATTATTATAAAAATAAAGAAAATGGGGAGTTTAACACGTATATATATATACATATATATACATACATATATATAGATATATATTATATATTTTGATATATAATACTCCATCGGATACAATAATACATCTGGATCTGTATCTGGAACAAACAGATAGACAATGCAACATTCGCATAACTGCAAGGTTTACTCTAGCAATTATATTCTCGTATATATTTATATAATAATATATATTTCTTGTATGCTTCCTGCGCGTTTCTCATATGAAGACTTTCGGCTAAATAGGTCTTTCGGTCCTTTTTGCAAGAAAAAAAAAGGTACAGCTTGTTTTGTGCACTTTGTTTCGTACGAAATTTTTTTTTTTTTCTATTTTTTTTCTTCATTTTTCTTTTATTTCGCTTCTAGTTCCGTCGCACACGGGACGAATGTACAGATGTAACGCGTCGCACGTTTTCTGTTTTCTCTAGTAGCCCTTAAATCTTCGGGATAAAGTGTAAAATGCTCGAAGTATCTCTCGAGGACGCTGACGGGCCGAATGTCTCCGTCCAGTCGTACGTGATCGATCTTAAGATTCTTTTGACAGGAAAACGTGAGGAGAAAACGTAAAATATTGTTTCTACAGAATTTCCATGTCAATTTTACACTTGTTTATCGAACAAATTATTACTAAAAGTATAAAATAATCAAATAAATTTTCAAAAAAATTAATAGAAATGCTAATTTTTTTAGTGTAATAAAGTCCAAATAGGAAAAAATGTATAAAAAATGTTTAAAACTCATTTTCAAAGATATTTTAAAAACGTTAAAATAATTGATTTATATATGTATATATATAGATCCCTTTTTATTCATTAAAGAACGTTTATTTTAAATGTTAATATAATTTATAAATATTTAATAAAAGTTAAATATTTATATTACATTAATGTTAATATAAGTGTTTTTAATGAAAAAATACAACCAATTATTTTAATGTTTCTAAAATCTTTGAAAATAAGTTTCAAACATTTTCTAAATATTTTTGCTACTACGGATCCGTAAATAATTTTGATAAATGTTATGTTAAAATAAATATTTCTGAACATACTTTACTAGTTATTGAAATAATAATAATATTAATTTATTATTATTATATTATTTATTTATTTATTTTAATTTAAGTTTAGAGCAACTAAAAATTAAACATATAATTATAAAATATCCATTTTTATATATAATTTCATACTTGAAACAAGCACACGAATTTACTATTCTCACTCTTTATTTACTTTTTTATTATCTTTTTGGATATTTTCCTGTCATTTTCTTTTTTTATTTTATGGTTGAAAGCTATATTACACTTGATTGCAATTTTATATTTAAATGATATTTTGTTTGATTTGCCCGGCAAAATCCTCGAGTTACATTTTGGCGTCAGGAATGAAAAAGAATGAAAAGGCGATGTGATCCGTAATTCTCTCGTGCGGCGATGGCTTTATACAAACTCTTAATATTCATTTCATGCAACATTTATCGCGGCATTGATCGCGGTTCGCCAGGAAAAAGTCACAAGCTCCGAATGTGACTTCGTGATAGCCACTGATATCACGTTGGTAAAAGTCGGAATGCAAATCACAACGGTAGGATAGATGCACTACTAAATGACGCTTGGGCACATTTGATAAATCCTTTCTCTAGGTGAAAAAATAATATTTTCGTCACATAGTTTATTTTTTTAGGTATTGAGAGATTAAAACTTAAATAAATTTGAAATTCTCTTAATTTTATATAAAGGTAAAATTAATATTGCAAATAGTTTAAAATCAAACAAAATATGATTGCTTTAGATTAAATATAGCTTAACATAAAAATAAAAAATTTAATTTTTTATAATTTTATATCAATTATTAATTTTTTCGTAAATCTCTCTCATATTTCCTCTCAATAGAATTATGTTGTGTTATCTGATCCATTTGTTTAGCCGCAAAAATATAATATATAATAATAAACTAAAAAAGAAATACTTACGTAATTTTAGTACACAATTATTAGTAATATATTTTCACGATGATGTTTCTGAAAAAAAAAATATATATATATATCTGCATTATTTTGTAGGGTCGCAAAAATAAATATACATTTATCAATGAGTTATTCAGTAGTGTACATATCCAGCAATGAATAGAAATAAAATATTGAGTAATAAAGAATAAAAATAAAATGTACTTACGTTAAGAAAGAAATTGCTTACAATTATTAATGCAATTGCGTCGATAAAGTTTACTAGTGCGTAAATATATAATTTATTCAATTAATTTCGTTCAAAAGTAGCGACAATCTTCATCATACAAGCATAATCAATTAAATAAATTATATATATTAACGCACTAGTAAACTTATCGATGTAATTACATTAATAACGTATGCATAAAAAATTATTAATAATTTTTTGCATTAACATGTTGATTTGAAATTTACTTGAAGGAACGTAACTTCAAGTTCAATCCAGTAGTTTCTTTTTTCAGCATAGAATAATTACACCGGAGGTTTACGAACTTCGACGACGGTGGAATGTCGCGAACCGCGGAAGCGTTATTACCTTACCTAATTTGTTCGATCGATTTTAGTCTCGGTGAATAAAGGTGCATTCACATCGGACGCGCTCGCGGATTTTACTTTATACGCGATCGACGCTTCGATGCGACGCATCCTCCTGCGCGAATCTCTTTATATTCTCTGTTTTTCACTATTGAACACACACACTCTTTCTTTCTGAGGGAACATATTCGCTATTCTCGAGCGGAAAACGACTGCAAAACGTAATACAAAGTGAATCGCATTTTTTAAATTTCTGTCATATTAGATACTTTAACAATAAGCGCTCTCAACACGCTAAACGCGCTTATGTCACGTCAAGTCGCGGGAAAGAAAGTGAATAATAATAATATTAATCTAAAAATTAATCTAAAAATATAATATTAATCTGAAATTTTCTATCGTCATTTATATGACTGATCCGCTATAAATATGTTAGTTTATCGCATTCAAACTTATTGAGAACATTTATTATTACTTTTGCAATAATATTAAATACTAATTCAAGATAAATGATATAATATACGTACGTCTAAAAAATGAATAATATAATATTTTAATGTTTATCATATTTAAAGTGCGACGTAGAATCTTGTTATTAGGCTTTTTGCAATAGCGTGTTTTTAACAGAATTTAATACATTAATATCGTTGCGTGTAAAACGAATAATAATTTAGATTTAAGATGGAAATTGCCATCGAAAATTTGAGCGCTTAGCACATTTAAAATACAATGTCGCAAAAACCTTCTGGTGTATCCTTAGTTGGAAAATCGATTTCGCAGCACGCTCGTTATTTACCTCGTTTATTGTCCCGCAGGAAGTTTCTCTGCGCACGACGGTTAGTTTGATTATTCGTGGTTCGTCGAATTAGTTAATGACTGATAGAGCGATCGTTCTGAAAGAGAACGAATTGCTAAACGTATCGTGGAAAAAAAAAAAAAAAAAAAAAAAGAAATGACTTGTCTCGTCGTTTTTCTTTCTCAGGCGCAATTTATCTTTGTCTCACGTCGAGATACTAATGATCATTCCCGATTAAAAGAGAACGCAAATGGAAACTTAGAATAAGTAGGGCACTATTCATAGTTCTCTATTTTTTACGTGAAGCCACGTCTGATGTTTTCGAAATGATCCGAATGTCTACTCATCGAGATAACTCGTCTTTAAATACCACGAATTTTTAAGCCATTATACAAAGTGTTCGAATAATGAATATATTATTTTGACAGTAAATGTATAAACATTTGAGAACAGATTATTGATATAAAAATAGCATCCTTTAATTAAATTATTTGTGTAAGCAGCAAATATTAATTCCTTTCCATCAACTATACTTTTTCCAACCAAGTTTTTTTTAATTAATAAAAATAACACTAATGAATGAATTTTTAATGATAAAACTGATATTACGTTTTAATAATTTTCCGATAATTATTGTGAAATAAAAAAATAATTTTTTTGAGAAATAATTAAAAAATAAAATATATGAGATATACATAGGGCGAGTTCTAGTTTGCGTGATAATACAAATTGGATGCCTTCTCATACGCGTTTTGCAGTCGTCCGCATACATGTACGGCTTTTTTCAAAGATATGTAACGATCCGTCGGCCTTTACAGAGAACAACATAGGCGAATCGACCTCAGAAAGAAATAGAGATAGATAAAGACGGCGAGGAAGATACAGAGATACTGAGAGGGGCTGTCTGCCTTCCCGAGACCTAGGAAATTGACATTTTGCGCGTGCGAAGGGCCGATTGCCCTAGAGACCACACTTTTTCCTGCCTTATGATACGAGTAAAAATTTATACAAGTTCTCCTTTGACGGTCGAAGGGTCCCGCTGTTTCTCGGACTCGGTGATGCCGCAAATCACCAGCAAGTCGAATCAAAATCGGATGTTCGATCGTGCTTGAAAAGTAAGCCTCGTATCGAATGCTCGAATATTGTATGAAGCAACTTCGCAGCTTCTCACTTTGCACTTTCAATTTCTCCTTTTTCTTTACAAATAAAAGCTGGAAAAGGAAAAACAAAGTGTGTACAAAGTGAAAAGTTATAGAGTCCTCTCGTGACTTAGAACGGAAGCGGATATCTCTTTCAAGCAAATGTTTTTCGAAAAAAGTAGAAAATTGAAAGTAAAGCATATAATAAAAAATATATAATAATAGAAACAAGAAATAATAGATGTACAATAAAGTATTGTATATCGATTATTTAATTATTTGGTTACAAATTTAAAATTGAAAATTAATAGAATTACCAAGAATTTGAATATGTTTAAAATTCAATTCAATCGTTTGCCATGACAATTTCGTGATCAATCTAAGATGTATTAATAATTTCTGTTTACCTTTTCATGTATATGTTATTTAAAATCGCTTCAATCGATTTTACGTCAAATGAATGGGTCGCACACTGTTTTTAGATTAATCTGATGTTTTAAGACAAAATATATAGAAATCGAGTGATTTAGATTTGTTTGCAAATATATCTATCGATGCGAAAGCATATTTTACAGCCAATTCATGTAAAATTTTTGAATAATATATAAACTTTTCCGATCATTATTAAAATTGGAATAACTTTCTTCAAAAATATCATTTTCCGATAAATTTTTATATAATTGATATACATTAATTTGTATCACTGTGTGCTTATCCAAAATAATGTTCAGCAAACGTTTCTAAAACATTTTTCTAAACTTTTTGTAGTTTAATGTGTAGTTTAAACTACCAAATCACACAGAAGTATAAACAAATTAATATGTACAACTTTTGAAAAAAATTAAAATTGGCAAATAATTTCTGATATGTTATGAAATTGGTATTAATTTCAATTCTGCAAATTTCGATTAACTTTACAAAAGCCTAATTAAAATTTGTATGCTCAATTATACATAGAGCATATAATGTAAGTATATATAATGTAAGTATAATGTTTGGTATACTGATTTAATTGGTTCTTTATCGAGGGTGTATGACTTTTTAAATACGGTTGCATTTTATGCGCAAATTAATGAGATACATTAATATGATACCGCCGATTATCGATAAATGCCACAGCTTTTCACCCTATTAAACCAACAAAATAATATAACGGAATTATCAATTTTGACGCTTCATCAAAATGTAAATTGCAGTAAACGTAGTCGAGATTAAAGACTATCGATACGAGAGATGTCTATCGCATCATAGCTTTTCTGTAAAAAATCGACGCGTTTTCTAACACGTTTATTAAAAATTTCCAATGACGTTTCAGGCTCTCGCGACGAGTAAACGACAAATTTTACATAATTAAATAAATAAATTCTCGTTATACGCATCAGGATTATAATGAAAGGGCAAGGTGAAGCTTTTGCATTCATGCTGTTTTTGCGATTAAATCACGACCCCGTTTCGAGACAAAGCGCATTTGCATTCTCATGCACTCGGCCTCGCATCGCGGAGGGTATCCTGGGCGACTTATGTAATCCAAGGCTTTCGCGCGCGAATAAAGGCGGCAGTCGGCCGCCGCGTTTGTATCAATTATCGAGCACATATTGAAAGGCAGAAACGTGTATAAAATCGGTCCCGATGAGCTCGAACCCGTATTCGCAGCTTTAATGTTTTAATGCTCTAAAACGCCAGCGTATCTTACACCAGCAGACTCGACGATATCCCCGGAAAATATTGCGGTATTATCAAAATCGCAAAGCACACGAGAATTATTTCTCGAAGTACTTATTGGAGCAATACCATAATAAGTGATATCTGAAATTTGTACAATATGTATATTGACTATAACCGCGATAGGATATCGATGTCTGGCTTAAAAAAGTGAAAAAATTTCTTCGTAAATGAACTACAATAATATATTGATCATTATAGAGAGAACACGTGTCGCGTAGGGCCGTTTCTGGAACATTAATTAAATATTCAGTTTTAAATTATTATTCTTTTTGCTTCTTTCTGAATCTAGAAATGAACATTTTTATACTTATTTTGTTCTCTTTCATATTTTATAATATTAAATAATAATTGATAATAGTTTTTATATACGAGAACAATTACAAAGGTTTTCTGTTAAACGTGAATCAATTTGTAGCACATGTAACAATGTAAACTTTTTGTCGATTCGTTGAATTTTGCCCGATTTGAGATTTCAAAAGCCGGGGAGTATTTTACATTTGCATGAATAAAAGTGGTTCAATATAATTAGCAGAATGAAAAATCGTTATTCGTAAAAGGCCTTTGGTGTGAAAAATGTGTGGAAAAGGGATTGGAATAGAAACATCTTTTCCTTCGCGTTTAATCTCGTAAATCCGTAATTAATTATGTGAAGAAAATTGCGCGACACTTTATAAACTATATGAACGAGTCATCGTTATCTACACGTTAGGTGGTTTTATAACACCTATAAGAGAAGTTAATAGAGTTCTTATATGCCCTTATAATAGACCCTTAAAACGGATCTACGGCGAATGTTAGAATGACTGGTCGGATCTTACTTTGTTTGTAATGGCATTGTAATAAGAACCTTCATTTCTAATTCTCCTTCTCACAACGAGGAGTGTCATTGACCACAAAGTTACATTTCCTCTTAAGAAAATCGGTCTCTCTTGTGAGAGAAAATCTCTCCCTCCTTCTTTCCTCTAATTTCGTATCTAATCAATAACGACGTGCCATCATTTTGCGCTTTACTTCTGTTAAACGTATAGTCTTTGAAACTAAAAGAAATCTATTATCGGCAAATAAGAGAATAAATTGAGTTAATTTTGGACCAAGAAGAATAAAACAAATTAAATATTCGGTATACGACACGTTAAATTGAATAATATATTTGAATTAAATTTTTGAATATGTTTTCTTTGTATAGAAAGTAAATTTCTTTAAAGAAAATTAAATGAATTTTAGTGTCACATTTTTTCCATGTTGCTATAACATATTTCCATTGTATTCATTGTACTTTTTTTGAAATAATAAGTGAGATGTATAACAAACTTTTGGCAAAACAACAAATTAGTAATAAAAATGCAAATTAAAATATCTTTTTTTGATGTCATGGCACGGATTCGATAAATTTAGAAAAACGCGTATACTCTCTCGCAATATTTCCACTTTTATATCTCGGGATTTCTCCATTCGCAGACGATATTAAAAAAAAATTAAAAAAATAATTTTGAAAGCAAAGCTCTGATAAAGACCAATTACTTTTGCACGAGTTTTATGAGCACTTTGCCACCTTTTTATAAAAAACTTTTTATAAAAACCTGATTAATTACCTGCTATATTCTAAATAACTTTCAAATTACAGCGCTCAAGGGTTAATTTCGCTGTCGTCAATGCACTTTAATCTTACTTTAATTTACTAGTTGTTTCTTTCCGAAACTTGCATTAGAGAAGGAAACAAAGAACCAATTAAACTTGAATTAAACTTAATCGACGTTTGCAGAACTATTCATAAATTACTTAACCTAAAGGAAATCTAAATGCATTATTTGCAATTGGGCTTAATTTTTGATGGAAGCAGAAAAATATCTTACATTAATAAAATTTGTCTTCTTACAAATACACACCTAAACCACATAAAATTTTTTAAATAAATGTCTAGAAAAATTCCGAATCGATAGATATTTTTTAAATGGCTTCAATAATCTTTGTCGTATATTATTTAAATAGAATAATTTTTATAGTATCGAAAAAATATAGAATTTACCGAGAAATTAATTGAATCGAGTTGCAGAAAAACCCTTCGACCGTCAAAAGAATCACGCGATTCTTTCGGCTCGCGTTGCGACGTTTTTTTTCTTTTAAGAAGTCCCGAGAGACTCGGGACCGTTTCTCAATATCTGGATAATGACGAGACCCGCTCGAGGGAAAGAAAGATCTCAGGCCGGCGAGAACGTTTACGACGTAAACGCCACGCGCTCTCGCATATATATTCGCGTCTCTCGTGAATCCGCGAAGCGGATTGAAGAAACGAAGGAGCGACTCGGTAGCGTCGCGTGAACCAACGCAAGGACGACGATTGTCCCATCGTCGTTTACCGAAAAATCGGCGTGGCGGCTGTGGCTCCTTTCCGTTCCAGGTGCCGAGGAGACCGAGCGAACCAGGGGGGCGGTCAACATTTCGTAGGATCGAGGGCGATCGCGTACGTGCCAGATCCTCGTGACTAGGACGACTAGGACTTGGCCTTGTCGCTCTGTGCCTTGTCAAAGCCGTCGATCAGCGTCTCAATGATGAACTTGATCGTCAGCTTGTAGATGTTCTCCACGTTCTCCGAATATCGGTCCTCCAGAGTACGCTCTACCGCATCCAGAAACGGTTTCTCGATTTTCTGGAAGTAGAGCGTTCAGTTAATTACAGTGATACATATACGAAATTTAAATGAAGCATTTCAAAAGAAAGGGAAAAAGTGAAAAATTGTTATAAGTATTATTTTATAATATTTAGGTCAAAAGTATAATTTTATTAAAAATGCAAATTTCAAGGAAAAGGAATAATCAGTATAAGTATTATTATTTTATTATACTTAGGTCGAAAGTATAATTTTATGAATTGTTAATTATGGTAATAGCGTACGTAAGAAATATATTTTGTACCAGAAACATTTTTCGAATTTAATTTCATTTGAGATATATAGAATAATTCAATTTCGTTATTTAATTCTTCTTAACCAATTATAATTTTTGGCAATCAGATTGTCCTAAATTTTTCTTGGAAAATTTTATATTTGTATTATAGTTCACTGTGGTTTGAAATTAACAAATATTAGCATTATTCTAAAAAGATAATTTAAGCAAATTATAATTCAATAAATTACTTTTAGTATATAATACTTTAACACAATATAAATGCTTGTAATATTTTTCTAAAAAAAATCAAGAAATTGATTTCGATCAGTGAATTTACAAATTCCATATTTTTATACTTGTATAATTTTATAATTAAATAATTGTAATTAATAAGAAAACAGAAAGAGTAGAACATTAGAAAAATTATTTATTTCAAATTTAAAGTGGGTATTGATGAAATTAAAGCTACGGTCGTTTTTGAGTTTTCGTAAAATATAATGTTGATATGGTGAAATATTTAAATCTTAAGCTATTCTCAACATGACAACAATACGAGAATTGACAATTGAATCGACAATTGTATTCTGATCTTAGTGGCCATTCACAATAGATCTCGCAGGATTGTTCAACAGGAACTAATCCTTATATAGGTATATAGTAAAGTTTATAAGTTGCGTAACTCGAAAGGAGAACAGACCTAATTAAATTTCATGCCAAATGATTGAAATTATGGACAAGCATTCCAAGCTGTGAAAATAAATGTGGCATTCCATAATATGCCTTTTTTGAATACTTTGCATTCCGTAACACATAACTTGATTTTATTCCTCTTTAAAAGCTAGAAAAAAATAGAAACAATCCGGTTCTCAAAAATTGACAGCTAAGACAAATCAAATAACAAAATCTGAATTAATTCGATATCTTCAACTAAGATTAATTTGAAAAATAAGTCCGAGATGCCTTTCGTATGAAATATGCTCTCTACGAATTATTATCATAAATAATTAAATTATAACATTTGTTCTAATTACCGTAATATTACTATTTTTAATTAAAATTAATTTTATTTTAATAATATATTTTTAATTTCCATCTCTTTTAACCACGCATATACATATTTAAATGTTCTTCTCTACTCGCTTCTCTTTTTCTATGCAAATTTTATTTTAGCTTTTATCCCTTTTCTTTGAGAAGATAAAACGATACGGAAAGGATTTCGGCACATATCTTTCTTTTTAAATGTACAAAGAAAGTTCCCTCACCGTCGCCGAGGAAGTAACAAAAGCCTGCTTTGCATATATATATGTGGGAAATATTTCTATTTTTGCATACCTGTGCTGAAATCGTTTTTTAACGATTCTTCTTCTTAGACTCGTATCACATAAGTACATACTTTTTATTGCTGTATGAAAACTAAAAGAAAATTTAATAAATAAATAAAATGAATGCAGATTTGAAATACATTGTTCGAATTGACAATGAGATAAATACAAAAACAAATATCAAATTAATGGAGAAAATTTATCTATTTAATAAATTGCTAATTGATTCTATATTCTATGATTATTAATGTAATCGTATTGACAATATAATGTATTAACACGTAATTTGTGCAATAAATTCAATAATAATTTACATAGATAATTGTCAGCTTTATTAAGATAAGCAGTTGAAGCATATAATATTGGAATATAAAGTGCAATTTTCCTCGATTTTCGTCGTTTTAGGCAAAAATACACATTATACATCATTTTTTGCTGTTTAATTTTTTATTATTTGCTTCGTAACTAACTGCAACCGATTTATATTCGTGTTACGAACGAGTTGGAAGGGTTATTGTATCGATTTTCATGTTTTGCATTCAAAGTATTTTCGATTAGCATGGTCGTAAATAAAATTGTAGAATATTTATAAATCTTATAAGCAACGGTTGCCCTCTTTCCAGATGTCCTGTATTAGTTTTGCACGAAGCAAAGTCACGATATGTACTATATTATTCCGCACTTATCTCTTGTATAACAGTATTCACGCGTTTTAAAGTATATAAAGTATGTATGAGGATATTTTTGGTGAGACAATTTGTCAACATTTTGAAGAGAACATTATTTCAGTTTAAGGCGAGAAATATTTGCGCGACAAAAATGCGTTTTTAATAAATAATAATAAACTTTTAGTGCTTTTATATTTTTCATCATAATTTTTGTTTATTTTATACTATCTCCTTTTTCCAAATTGCTAGAAAAATGTAAGGACTGTTAAAAAAGAATCTTTTCTCATTAGACACCATGCAGTGTCGTAACGTGGCAGACAAATGGCGGACACCAGCTGTGCAGCGGATTACGAAGAGCCATGAAGGAGCAAAATATCCGACATGTAGTAGCGATGTTGAAGTCTTAACATTTGTTATTCAATCTTTCCCGCAGCGAGTGTCTTTTCTTTGATGATATAAATTTCGTAAAAAAATATAATACGTGTAATAAAATGTAACAAACAAGATAAAATCATAAAAAGTCATACGATAATAAAATTTAATTCTTAATTAGCTGCATAAGCCTGATATAATGACTTTAAAAAATATAATACGTGTAATAAAATGTAACAAACAAGATAAAATCATATAAAGTCATACGACAATAAAACTTAATTTTTAATTAGCTGCATGAGCCTGATATGACTTTATTCAGTCTGAACTTTACAATGTATTTACTAATTAAAAAAAATTTATATAAACACATTTTTTTTAACAATAAATCTAATAAGATGTCAATAAAACTTGATTTATTATTTAAAAATAAAAGAAATAAAGTAATCAATTTATCATATTTTGATTGCAATAGAAAAAAAATATATATTAAGATGATAGTGATCTAATTATAGTCAATTTCAATTATGTTACGCGAATTAAATCTACTATTCACTATTATTAAAAGTCTATGTGTAAATATTTTTTTGAAACAAATTCTAAAATAGTTTATAGTGTTTCCCAAAAGTTTTCACTTTATTGTCTTTGATTTACATGTTACAAGAGATAAGTGCGGCATACAGAGGGAAAATGTTCGCCAAATGAAATGCAAGACGTGTCTCCAGCGAGCGAGAAATTTCTCTTTGCATTTCCTCAGTATTGTAGAATAAACTACCAATGTTCTGACATCTAAGATAATATATTCACATTCTATCCAACTTTTTATACAATATTTTTTCGAAAAATAGTGCAAATATTTCAAACTAGAATTCTTATGAAGATGAACTAATTATGTTATTAAAATTTGTTTACTAGAAATGATTAATATGTAAAATGTATCACGGTTGAATATTTTCTTTCAGAGAAATGAGCTAATCTTACAGCTGTAATACCTGATTTTCTCCACCATTCGTTACAATTATCTTATTTTCTCTTTTAGTCAATAGTCGATAACTGGGACACGTGCATCGTATATTTATATTATGCCATATACCGCGCATAAATATTATGGAAATATAAAGGGCAATTTTGTATCTTTTTTTAGGACTTACCCAGAAGTATTGCCGGTTGAAGCCGGGGATCTTCGTGTGGGAGGCTCCAACCTCGTGAAGGTACGTCAAAAACGCGTCCATGTCGTCCAGGCTCTTGATCCCTTCGTCGAGAGTGGACATGACTGTTTTCGCGTGTTCGGCCAGTTCCATACTCGATGACTGCTGATCCTTCGTCTTCAACTCCCGGAATTTTGTGAACATATTTAACAATTCTGCGTTCTCCTCAAACAACCTGAAAGGTGAGTACATAATGTACAATATTGTTCAAAAAATAAACGCGTTAATCACATATACATAATAGCATTTATATAATGTTAAAACGATCTCGATTACAAATATTAAGTTAATGGATTAAAACTATTAAATGGTTTAATATATTTTAATTTGTGGCTTAAACACGCAATTGCCTTTTAAAGATAGAACTTCAAGTTAATTTTTCTGATATTTGACAAGAGAAATAAAAAAGGTGAAAAATTTTAATTCGAATGTTAAAAGCGTTCTTGATAAGCTCTCGTCTACTTTGAAGAAGTCATAAATGTCAAACTTAATTTTCCGGTGGCTCGAGACAGATTTTTTCCGCCTTGATACTTTCTAAACACATTTTAGCAAAATGTTGTGGCGTTTCTAGTCCGCATCTAAAATTTCGTTCCGTAATTGCTTCAAAATGTTTGATATTTCGCAAGCTCTTGTGGCATATTTTATTTTTCTCTGCTCGGGAAACGAAGGACAAACTCGAGTGATATTAAACTCCAAGCTTTATGTCATCTAACGTCAATATATTTATAGAGGAAGAAATCAATCATTAAAAAAAGATGCAATTTATTACAGTTTAAAACTTGTTCGCGACTTGTTTGATTTCTCAAATATTTAGGAGACATTTTTCCTTCTCTGATATGTGACATAATATTTAATGCATGTAAATAAAAATATAATCACTGATTTTACTCAGTACTAGAGAATATTTCGCGAGAGAATTTATATTTAACAGAATATACTAAAATATTTTAAGTTGTAAATATACGAGAGTAATGTAAGTGTCATCGAAATTTATTGAAAAATTTTATTACAACGCTTGCGTTTCCCTTTTTCTTTCTCTCATATATATATATGTAGCTCTCTTGATTTTGCGCAAAATTTGGGTAACTTTTTTTTACCAGTTTTGTGCTCGTCGAGGTAACGAGTTTGCGTGTTTCTCGCTATAGTAGCTCGACAAAAATATTTTCGTTCCATGGATGGCAGGTTGCTCTCTCAGCCATTCATGAAATACCTCTTTATACAACGAGGCATTCCAATCTCGCTCTTGTCTGACTAGTGAAAAATGTATGTTAGAAAGAAAATATAAATCGTATATTATCTTTAATAGTTTTGGCAATTAATAATTATAAAATCTATATCGTGAATATATACTTTCTTTCTCTTGACAGATAATATTCAATGCACGTTTTTATGCTTTTATATTTTGCAAACAGCATATTATTACAACATGTATTTTTATACTTGACATATTTATTCTTTGCATTATATTGCAAGGTAGGTAATAAAACATATAACATCTAAATATATTTTATAGCATGAATAGAAAATAAATAGCAGTTTGTTTTTACGTCAAACAAAATATGCAAAGTCAATCAGCATATTTGAAGTTTGATGTTATCTATAACAACTTGAAAAAATGTTCGATTCGGAATGAATTATGAGAATCGATATTCAAATTGACATGATATCGCGTCCAAATTATTCCTCTTTACGCATACAGTCTCTTGCATCCGCATAAATTACTTTTCCTGTAGGGAAGCGATGCGTTTCGCATTTATTATGATTTTTCATGGAATGCAAACTCGTTATATTGTCGGCTATAACGCCAATCCTTATTTTATTTGGAAGATAAATATTCTGCAAATAGGATGAAATCAAAAAATTGCAAGAGAAATATAGAAATACTTCGAAAAAATAACTTATAAATATATAGATATGTATATATTTTTCTATTGCGTATCGGAGATAAATTCAATTTAAATGAATAACGTTACTTTGGAAAAATGATTTCATTTCTTGTTATTATTTTGACCCTTGAATATACAGATTTCAATCTCAATAATTAATGAATATTTAATCAATAAAAATTTTTGTGTGAAAAACACACATACACCTTTTTATATATTTTTTATTTACATTGCAAGATTGCAATTATTATTAAAATGTTAATATTCTTTTAATGTATTATAATTATTAAAATATAGTTATTAAAATTTTTCGCAATATATAGTTTATTACTTTACTATTTTAATTTTAGTATCATAAAAACAACAATTTTATTATCATAAAAACTAAAAATCGAGGATGTTGAAATTTCTAATATTCAAGAAATTTCTAATATTTGAAAAAAGCTATTTACAAAGCGATATATATATATATATATATATATATGTCGTATAATATGTAAGGATTAAAGCTCTTAGGCTTGAAACCCTCAGTATATATGTTTATTAATGTTGATTCGTTCGACTATATCTTGATTCATTATTATTCATTGTTCGTATTTCGCATATATGCTTCGTAAACTCCATAAATTTAATTATGACTAGTCAATTACGATTCGATATAGAAATTCCAGAGAGTTATAAATATGATTAATGTCTTATCACTCATTTTTTATCGCGTTATCATACGTCATATATGACAATAAGAAGGTAACACCAAACACCCATCGATCAATGAATTGAATTTTTTCATGGTGATAGTTACCTCTGTTCTCGAAGTAAATATGTCGTAAATTACGGTATATTTTTGAGCTGCAGCGAGAACACAAGCTGAAAGCTCGCGCGTAAAAACACGCGATTCTAGACCGAAGGCGAGGCTTAAAGGGGGCATAAAAACAAATTTGCATATACCGCGCGATGCAGATGGGATCGACGTGATTGAAGGGGACTGAACGGGGGCGCCTGTTGACCCGGGATACGATAAAATATTTTTAAATGCGGTCGACGGCAATATAAAGGGTGGCGGTATCCGTTCGGCAAGTTCGGCGGGTTCTTATCGTTTGAGAACGAATTGAAGTTTTATATCGGAAATCCATATCCCTCCTCCCATTTTTCCTCCCCTTCTCCGTAGGAGCTTAAAACGACGAAACAATGATATTTCCGGATTTAACGCGCGTGTGCAGCTTCAGCTCTTTTTCCTACGTTCCCTCTACGTATAATACAATAAAAGACAATTTTAAGGATCGATATCGCGATGAGTAATTATTAACGTCGAATCAAATATCGGTTAGTCTCTTCTTTTCATTTTTACAATACGATATATAATACGATTTTTTTTAGTTTAATAAATAGCGAGTAAACAAATAGAACAAAGTATTATATTTTTTTATATGTAATAGGAGAAGAGTTATACGATATAAAAGCAATTTAAAACACAACTATGTAATTTTGATGTGATATCGATCTTTTGAGAGCCGAATATAGTAAACTAATTTGATTCGAGTGGAATCCTTATCAAAAAACGAACCCGACGCGCATAACCGGATATTAACACGTTTGAGCAACGCGCGATGAAATTAATGCCTTGTATTTCAATTAAACTAAAGACTGTGGGAAGCTCCAGCTGTAAGCAATAACACGTTTAATCGTTTTTTAATTACCTCGAGGAAATCTGGACTTTAAGATCGTCGACGTTATGATGAATAATAAGTTCCGACATAAACTTCTTCAAAAGAAACACAGCTTATAAAATGAAATGGTATTAGTATGCGCAATTACGTGGATTTCAGTCGAAAATTATATATACGCACATACAATTGAGAGATTATAATATTTTATCGTTATATTGCACGTAAATACGTATGCGATTATAGCAAATATTGGATCTTTCTAACGATAAATTTCATTATTGCTGTCAAGCACTCGTCAAATATTACGTGGATGGTCAATTATATATTGCGCGAATTATTTTGTTAATAAATATATTTGCCATTACGAGATTTCTGATATCCAATATAAAAATAAAATATTTTTTTCATCAAACATGCCACAATTTCGTGAATATAGGAGTACTGCGTAAAATATTAATAACGATCAAGTATTGGATGTAGTATTACACTGATAATTAGCGGTTTCGAATTATGCCGTATTATGTTATTAAAAGATAAATATTTAATGACGGATCAGAAATAATGTACGTAAATATTTATGAAACTGTCTAATTATATATTTATTGGAATCTTCTGATATATTTGCAGTGACATTAATAGTTTGATCCATGAATAATTAGCGAATCTAATTATGTACTTTAATTTATTATGTGCTAATAAATAAATGCTGAGTACGAATATTACGTTTCTAGTTATGGATGAAGTCTATAATATCTTTCCATATAATGCGTAATTTATAAGATATTTATTTTTAATAATTATTGCGCATTGTGTTGTCAGTCTCATTTGTCTAATAAAAAAAACTTGTTCTTTGACATAAAATTGTCATAAAAATTTAAATGTTATTCAAACGTTATCGTTGTTTTAAATATTTGAAACAATTGTTTGAATATTGAATATAACAAAAAAGAGATTTATTTTTTCACGCAGCTTCATGAAAAGCTTCGGTAAAAAATAAATTAAAAGTTTTGTTTTAGTAACATACTTTTTTATCGTCATATTTTATGTACTTTTTGGTTTATGTACAGTGCTTTGGTGAAAGCAATATTTTTCTCTTTTAGACAACTAATAACAAAAATTTTTTTGCAATTCTCTATAAAGTGATTTTTGACTCGATTTCACGAAAAATCCAGCTGCATTCTTCTTTGCAAAATTTTTATTTATCGCTCAGTTTTTAATTATTGACGAGAAAATATGTATGGCTTTAAATATATATAATTGACAGAAGTATTTCAAAATACGAAATTGATTTAGAATTATAAAAAATCGTTCTTCTTTCATCAATAATTTTACTCATCTTATAAAGATATTAACATGTGCAAGTTGCCACTTGGCTGTTGCCAGCTCGGCGAATATGATCCATTCTCTTTAAGGGTGGTACGTGTTCCAGTTTCTCCGACGACCACCCCAAAAGAATCGGTGGAACGTGCCTAACCTTCTTTTTTTTTTTCGAAGAATCCTCCGCTTCATCGCAACGAGGTGAATCGATTCGTATTCAGTTTGCATGCATAATTCAAATTCCATTTATATATTAATATACTTATCAGATTGATAATAATATTCAGATTGAGCTGCGCATAAAT